ACTAATTTAAATAAACAAACCTAGCTCAATACAGAACTGATAAACATAGCACCTAGTCCTTCAGAGTCTGCTGAACTAGTTAATAACTATTTTAATAATGTTGGTAAAAACTTGGCCAAGTATATATCAATTGATCAAAATGAATTAAATGAATATATCTTGTCGCTGCCATCTCAAAGTAACTCCATTGGCATAATTAAGCCTGAAGCCTCCGAGGTGGAATCGGTGATAAGGGGACTAAGGACTGATGCTGCTGCCGGCTGGGATAGTATTCCAACTAATTTCATATAATATCAATAAACGAAATACTTCCGGTAATTACCCATCTTTCCAAGTTATGCTTTCGCATGGGCCAATTTTCTAGTCTTTTAAAAAGGTCAATAATACTACCAGTATTTAAGGGTGAGGACAGAGACGATATAAGCAATTACCGTCCTATCTCTATATTATGTGCAATCTCAAAAGTCATTATAAAAACTAATAAATAGTAGACTAGTCAAATATCTCTAAACATAATTTATTATCTAAAGGTCAATTTAGTTTTCAAAAAGGTATGAGTACAAAAGATGCAATTTCAGAACTGGTTAAAAATATTTCACACTATTTAGATAAAAAATATAAACCACTATGTGTCTTTTTGGACTTGAAAAAAGCCTTCGATGCCCTCTCTGTTCCCATTCTTATGAGCAAGTTGGAAAGATTAGGTATACGCGGCACCTTTCTGGAGCTATTAAGGCAATATTTATACAATCGTACCCAGCGAGTTAAGCATTTACAGTACAGATATCAAAGTCAGTAACTATGTTGTTCCACAAGGGAGTGTGCTCGGTCCTACCTTATTCCTTATATATATTAACGATCTGACTAATATGCGACTCCATAAAGGACAGGTATTTTCATACGCCGATGACACTGCATTCTTATTTCATGGTTCTACATGGGAGGAAGCATACTCAAATGCTGAGGTTGCGTTAAAAAGGATAACTAAGTGGCTGCGAATCAATTCTTTAACTCATCACTGAATAAGTACATTGAGTTCTGTATAAAAATTTGCCAGATTTTCAACAAAATAAAAAACTAACACTTCATTATTGTCCAAGAAACACAAATAAGTGTGACTGTCCAAAAATTGATAAGGTTGATAGCATCAAATACTTGGGTATAATTATTGATAAAAATCTTTTATGGTATGGTCAAATTGAAGCGGTGTCGAATAGGGCAAGAAGGTTAATATGGCTATTTAAATACATACGCAGAGTAACTGATAAACAATTACTCGCGTATATATATACAACTTTAGGACAATCTATTCTTTTGTACCGCATTTTATTTGGGGTGACACTTATAAAACAAAATTTATAAGTATAGAGCGAGCACAGAGAGCAATCTTAAAAGTAATGCTTTATAAAAAGAGAAAATATAGCACAGAAAAATTATATCAAGATTCTGACGTCCTAACGGTAAGGCAATTGTACATTCAACAACGTATTTTAAAAACCCATATAGATACATCTATAGATCCAAACATTAAATGAAAACGTAACCCATATTGTGTCATTAAACAAAATAGAGTAAGAACCATTTTCGCTTCTAGACAATGCTGTACACAACCTATAAATATTTACAATAACATTAATAGAATATTGAATATATACAATTTGACATCACTTAAATGTAAGAAAGTTATTACTCCCTGGCTTAAATCCTCAACATATTCTCAAACCGAGAATATCATTGATACGACAATAATATACGGTAAATTATAAAAAAAACACTATATTATATAATCTCTCACATACATAAAAACACACACGCACATACTGCTATACTATATAATTATGTTGAAAATTAGCTATTAATGTAAAGAAATTAAGTCCTTTAAATAGTTTATGGTTTAATACTTTAAATAGTTAATGTATGGTGCCTTCCCCCCTGGCATGAGGACCGCGATATAATATGTGACGCGTGTTTTGTCGCGCTCAGGTGTCAAACTCTTTGGAGTTTGACAGCTGGACGCGATATAACACGTGATACAATATGAATTGTGGTGCTCATGCTACGGGGGCAGGATCAATTAGAACTTGTCTAATTTTCTTTCGGAAATAATTTTAATGTCAATAATTGTTAAAGTAAAGTTCAATGTAAAAATTGACGAAAGAGCGAGTATCCCCTAATACAAGTATAATACTTAAAAGGGAATACTCAACAATATGTTTATATGGAACTTGTAAGCATTAAAGATTTTTTTCATTTTTCATTTTCGACTATCCTCCTTACGCAAAGGTGCTCGCGCAAAATCTTGTAAACACTTCCTGTACCAAACTGCAGGGTATGCTGAATCTATTCGTACGTAATTCGTCTGTTTTATTTAATTATTTTTTTTACTGTGAGCACACTTTCTTCGGTGACAGCCGTCGTAGGACGAACAATCCTTTTTCATCCCCCAAAGTATGACGACCGCGTTTGATCTCGCTACACTAGCGGTAGATGGTTGCTTTTGAAGGTCCTTCATCCATAAAAGCAGTTCGAATCGATCAAATGACTCATCAGACTAATAAATCATAGCACGAAAATGTTCTCGATGCAGGTCCATTTATTAATGAGACAAGAAAAATTTAATTGCCTCTCGAAAAAATGCGGAGGGAAATTTGAAAATCGAGTGTGGTATTTTTACTTTTAAATAATCGAAGTTTCCAAAATAATTACAAGTGGCTAGTGTCTTATACATAAAAACTTTTTTTCGCAATACTTTCTGAGTGGCCTGGTATGTTGATTGCATATTATCTTTATATATATAATTCTTCTGTGAGTGTGTATGTCACTGAACTTCTCTTAAACGACTGGAGCGATTTTGATGAAATTTTTTGTGTGTGTTCAAGGGGATCTGAGAATGGTTTAGATTCACAAAGCCGTGTAGACAGGACAACGTCTGTCGGGTCCGCTAGTATAGTATATTTCATTACGAGTGCGGAAAGTCTGTCACACAGACCAATAAGAGAACAAGTTGTCTGTCACTGCAAAGAGTTCCGACAAATGTCTAACAAATCTACCTACTTTTACTGAATAAATATTTTCATAGACTAGAAATTTAAAAACCAATTTTAAACTTATGATTACAATGAATTTTCATATAAATATAACGAAAAGTGCTTTTACATGTTGCAATTAAAGTTAAATCAACCAAAAAGGATTCCAATGTTCATGGCAATGCACGTTCAGTTAATGTATCTGTCTCGAGCCACGGTTTCTGGCTTAATAGTTGTTCTGGGGATATGATAGTATTTAAAACGATAAAATGTATTTCACCCGCCTCCTCCTCTAAAAGCTTCCCGACGTAAATGCTGGAACTATCATTTCGTAGACGTTACGGTGAAAGATAAAAGTCCTTTGTGTTGTTTTCAACTTTTCGTTGGGAATTCAGAAGAAGCAAAATGTCTCTAAATTTATGGAAGTTATATTGATATCCAACATCTATGCACAGCAAACTAGTTGCTGATATCGTACTTTGAAATTTTATTAAAGAGCGGTAAATAAAATGCCCTCTAAAATTATATGGTGTATTCTATCTGCTACAATGGTCCACCACTACTACTGCACTACTTCTATACAAATTGCAACCGCGCATTATAATAAAACTGACTTCATAATTGGATGCATAAATAAAATAATCAAGACAAATTTCTTATACACTCCAACGATCATATTAGCTAATCAAGATAAATGGGATACTACAGATACTTATAAGTTTTATGATAGGCTCATAGACATAACAGTAAAATATAACATACCAACAATAAAAGATATTACTTCAGATGTATACGAAATGTATGTTATGAAAGACCATTTTCTCTCCATATCATATTTCCATGATTGTGAAAAATTATTGGAAGTACCAATCGACTCCGTCAATCCAGTAGTAAAACATATAGTGGTTATTTTCAATTCTTCAAAAGAATGCACAGCACTGCTAAATAATGTTATATCTCGCTACCTCAGTAAATATGATATAACTTTTCTAAAATTAAAAGAAGATGGTAATTATGATATTGTTACTTATATACCGGAGCTAAATCCTATCTATTGTAAAATGAACTATACCGTATCAGACACTAAGATAGCCACTTGCGATTCCTTAAAGAAGGACAACATTTTCCCAAATAAAGAACCTCAAGATTTAATGGGATGTGTCTTTAAAGTCGGCATGTCAACATTTGTCCCATTTTCGAGGATTAAAGATAGCAAATCAATGCAAATAATGGATCCAATCAAAGAAAAGGATATCAGAGGATGTGACGTGGAAATCATGAAAATAATGTCACAATATTTCAATTTTACGCTGCAATATTATTTTATATTTGACAGTGAAGACCACGGTCCTTCTCGACTAGCATTTTTGGATTTTCTGCTTAACGGTACTTTGGACGCTTGTGCAGGTGGACTATTTAGAGTATATGGTGATGTTGTTGAATATTCAGGTGTTTACGGTAAACAAGCGTTTGTTTGGATGTACACTGTTAAACGAAGAAACAGGTCTTGGCAAAACCTGGTTGCTAAAGTTGGTAGGTTATATGTATTCATTGTGTCCTATATCATCTTCTCCCTTGCATCATATTTACTTACTATGTTTGACAGAAGACGCGTATCACTCAGCAACACGATGTTGTACAATTGGGGTGCACTCATGGGTGCTTCTTCATTATATAAAGCAACAACTTTCAAGCACAGGATTATGAACTATTTCTACTTAACTCTATGCACACATCTCGCTGTTTACGCTAACATACACATGTATTCTTTTCTAACTGTCGTCGGTCCACCAAGTACATATAAAACTATCGATGAGATATATGGATCAAATTTAAAGCCGTACTTGGATCCAAAAAGCAAATTTTTTATCAGTGATAAACAATTCGACACGTTTTCTAATACATCAAAAAATTGTGTATTTTTTGTAGATTGTGAATTACAAAGTTTTAAACATAATGGAATTACAATTGTAGTCGATGGTCAATTCACGTTGTTTCAAGCTGAAACTATAGTGGATGGAGAAGCTACGGTGTTAAAGGTGCCACAGAACATGCTGACTGTCTACCATGAAATTTTGATTCGAAAGAATCTTACCATCACAAATAGTTTTCAAAAACTTATGACTAGGCTCGGGGAAGCTGGCATAACTGATCGACTGTACCACGAAGCTTTGGGAATTTTAACAGAAGCGAAAGTGCTTAGTGCGACAAAAAATATTATGAGTTACAGCTACAATTGTAAAGGTGGATGTAGTATTACACTGATACAGTGCGCAGGAGCATTCTATGTTTGGATGTTTGGGTGTGTCTTGTCTTTTTGTGTTTTTATAGTGGAGATTACAGTAAAAATGAAACAAGGTCGGCAAATATAATGGTTATGTATAAATTTGTAAAATGCACCTATAAATGTTTTATTAGGGATAACTCACAATATTGTGTTTGTGTTGCAGTTTTTTGATGAACACTAATTTAAGCAAACAAAAGGTGATTTGAAATAAATGCATTATTAATTTAGTAGAATAATAAGGTTAAATCAAACATCTTTAAAAAAAATTAACTCAGAGGAATATTTTCGATTACTTAAATTAAAAACCCGTGGAGTTGCCGCCCGCGCCGTTGCCAACTTGCTAAAGCTTTTTCAAGAACTATAAGTATTTGTTATAGAACGTTAAACTATATAAGTATAGAGAATTAAAAAATATTTTAAGTCCATGGTAAATTTTAATTTCTTAATTGTCATTATAAATTCTATTTTTAATATAATATCGATCTCAATATTCTTAAGCATTTATTTTGCGATGATTCTGATGATTTTCATGATGAATATTTAGCTGTGTAACATGGACCTGAAAAAAAGACGGACTTAACCTCGTCTAATCGTGAGTGACGCATGCCAATGGCCGCCCGCTTACCACGTGTGCGTGATTTGAGGGTTGTCGGGTAAATTATCAATTTCCCTACTTTTGAAATCTCGCAAACTTAATCTTTGTTAACATTATATAATCAAATATATATTATAATAACGAAATATTTACCACGTGTTTTACTCTTTGTAAACTCCCGATATTTCAGCAATTTAAACAGTTACACTTCAGAAACATGATGATGGTCTAGAATAGCATAAAGAAGAAAACACTTGCTACGTATAAGAAAATTTATTGTTTACATATTTAATGAAAATAAATGTCTTAATATTAAGTATGAGGTTAATTATATACATTTATAATAAATAATGGTAGTAGAAACTACCACACACATTTGAATCCTGCCTAAAACATTGACAGATTTGGTTTATTTTCGAGAAAAAATCATAATATATATAAATTACGCGTCACGTTCTTTGTCCGAGATGAGCTCCTAAACTACGAAACCGATTTTAATCAAATTTGCACACCTTGTGCAGTTTGATCCAACTTGAAAGATGCGATAGCTTACATCTCAATTTATAGTCGCAATATTTTTTTATTTCAAATTATTACTTTTGGGCGGTACGAAGTTCGCCGAGTCAGCTAGTATTCTATAGGTTAAGTAGCTGACCCAGCGAACTTTGTATCACCATAAAAATAAGGGCAGGTAGAAGAAGCGAAAATGTAGGGTTGTATGTATTTTTTAACCACATTATATAAAAAAATTGTCCAAATATTTTTTTAGGGGTATGTAACGTATTGTTTTATCAATTTCCTAGGGTAACATTCCTCCTAACCTATATGAGAACACTACGTTGCAATACCCAATAGATTGAATTTTGCGCGAAGGCGCATTGTAGGTTTCAGAACACTACGTTACAGGTGGACAACCATTATCACTTAAGGATATGAAAAATAGATAGTAGCCGATTCTCAGACCCACGGAATATGCATATAAAATTTCATAAAAATCGGTCAGGCCGTTTCGGAGGAGTATGGTAACTAACATTGTGACACGAGAATTTTATATATTAGATAAATCGCGCAGATTGCGTACGGAACCAAACAACGTAGCCACTTAGCTGTAATTATAAAATCTACATCATCAAAATGTGTACTGCACACAGTATTGGCAGTTGACGGGGTCCAATTGTGGTTCAGATTGCGCAACTTCGGTGAATTTTTTTAAGGCTTTTAGCCTTGTCGCGCTTTGCCATAACTCTACGAATGGCTGGAGTCAACCAAGGGACGGGAATGTGTTTAAGGTGAACTGGTCGCACTGGAGCACGAGTATCGTACATTTTCGTAAGAGTATTAGTAAAATATTCCACCATCGCATCTATATTGTGAGCAAGTAGAACCGGAGACTAATCTATATTTCTCATTTCAACCCTCAAGCGTTCAAGATCCATTTGCTTAAAATTGAGCAGAAAACGAACTCTAGGTTTGGCTTTGGAAACACGTACTTTGTGAGATAGAAAGATAAGGTCATGATAAGAAAAGGGTGATGTTATTTGTCCATGAGCACCAACCAAGTCAGGATTAGAAACAATAACAATATCAAGAATAGATGGTTTGGGAAATAATGAGCTGGAGACGACTTTTGAAGAATATGGAGATTGAGAGAAGATATCAGACTATTAAACTTACCAGCTCTAGTATCATTTTTCAAAAGACAAGTGTTAAGATTACCCATCAAGATTATTTGGTCGTAAACAGGCACTACATCTTCAAGCGCACTCTCAAGAGAGTTAAAATAATCCACCTGATCGTTTGGACTATAAAGGGCCCCTAGGAGAAACTTTGTATGACGTATAATAATTTCAACAAATAAATATTCAACGGCGCCGGTGCAATGTGATGGAGAATGCATGATTTATCTGGCAGGAATATGACTATGCAGATAAATACCTACGTTCAATAGTGCGATCATTACAAAAAAGCTTATAGCCCAAGATAGAGAAATATGTGCTAGAAAGTGAAGACTTTAACCAAGTTTCCGAAATAAGTATACCGTCTAGTTGACGTTTTCGTTGTCAAAGGAAGTAAGAAGATTATTATAATGGGATGGAATACTTTGGGCATTGATATGCATAAGGGAAAGAAAATTGGGATTTTTACCAAGAGTTTCTAACAATTTGTAAGGCAAAGGTTTGAAACCTTGAATCAAAAACCAAAGAATCATTACTATCTGCACTTTCATATTCGTCAGACGAACAAGAGAAATATTCATCTTTCATTAATATATATAAAGATAATATATGCATATACAGGCCTGTATATATGTATATATATAATAACGAAACATAATTAAAAAATAAAAAAACAGTAATAAAAAACAATTAATTTAAAAACCTCCGTAAGCCCAAGTTGACTTGAAGAAGAATCTCCGATAACCGGACATATTTCAAGGTAAAACAGCTACAGAAAACAAAATTAACACATTGGACAATGGGTTTATGCCGATTACAAATTATGAAATTTAATTTTAACCAAAATTAGTTATCACGATAACAAATACTGTCATAAAAAAAAGTTCTTTGGCTGTAAGAATATCATTACCTTGTCTTTATAAAAGAAGTATGTAAACAAAAAGAACAATGACATTTGCTCTGAAGGCGGGAAACCTTCAATTTAGTCGGACGTACTTTTTGGCAATAATTTTTATTAATTTCTATTAATAGTCATTAGGATCAGATAGGTCCTTAGTTTATTGTATATTTTAATATTTATTAGTAGGGTGTAATTATTCTGTATTGGTAAGTTTTTAACATTTCTCAGGTATGAATGGCCCTTTAGACCCTGGGGGGACAGCTCTAGACTAGCGACAGCGATAGGACTAGAGCTGGGAAGTTTAATAGTCTTAATATCTTCTCTCAATCTCCAAATTCTTCAAAAGTCGTCTCCAGCTCATTATTTCCCAAACTCCAAACCATCTCTTTTTGATAAACGAAAATGAAAAGGTAACACTTTTCATTTCGTCAATTTGAGGTTAAAATTTCGAACAATTATTTGTCAAATTCAACTTTTCCTTCGAAAGTTTTGTGAATTAGATTTCGGCTTGGAGAATTTAATTGTCAAACTATTTTCGGACTAACGAATTTTCGAAATGAAAAGGAAACAGAGTAAGGAGCGTGCGAATTTTCGACCGAAATTTCGTTTTTCGTTGAAATATAGTAGACCTTCTGGTTCAAAGGAATCCAACACTAGGGTAAAACCCTTAGCTGCTGACTTATAAATAAAATTAAATAAAATAAATAAATAAATAAAGACATTTGTCTGGAGGACACTCTTCATACTAAAGTCACAGATTGAACTGCTGACATTGAGTTCGGATCGCCTGGATGCATATTCCCGCAGGAAGGGTCTCTTGTTTCATGGGGTCAAGGAAGATGAGGATGAACATATACTAAACAAAACTGTTTCCGTACTAACCACCCAATTACAAATAGCCAGTATGCGTTCTGGGTACTTAATTCTGTGTTAAATTAGCTGTGGTTGAATTTCGGGGTAGTTTTGATGGCAAAAATTTCAGCACGCTACTCAACCACAGCTAATGGAAAGCTGAGCCGAGTTCTGAAGCTATTGATGTGACATTGTGGGTAAACTGTAATGCGAAGAGATGGCGCTGCCTTGCAGCTTAAGAATGGCTAGAGGAATTTCGTCGCGGTCCGTAAGGGCCGCGGTAGCATAATTGGTCAATACATTCGCCCGGATTGCGAAGGGTGCGGGTTCGAGTCCCGTCTGCTGTCTGGTCCGCGTGGATTTTTTTCTAGTTATATTTTCTTTAGATTTAAACATCAAGCAGTTACATGCTTTAAAAAAATAAAAATTATAACTATTGACTCTTGTCATCGGCTTGGCACAAAGAAAAGGGATTCAAATCGAGTCCAGTCCTAGTTCGCTTTATCTCAATGAAGCAACGCATAATTAATAATACGATTGACTATTATTATTGTGGAACAGTAAAACCAAGCTGAAGGTTCCTTATGTATCAGTATCCGAGTTCCTTACTAAGATGAAACAAGATTAGGAACAGAAATACATCAGCTGTGAAAATTTCAACTGTCTAGCTATCATTGTTCATGAGATATAGCCTAGTGACAGACAGACGGACAGTGGAGTTTTAGTAATAGGGATCTATTGCAATTCTAAAAAGTGAGTTTGTTTATATCGCTTTCACGTCTAAATCACTGAATTATGTAGAAAATAGTGACGAGATAAATGGCATCCAGGAGACAATGGTGTCGATTCTGGTATAATTCTCTAAAGCTAAACTTAAATTTGACAACAATGTATCTTTGTCATTCTCTATACAGAATGAAAAGGAGAGACTGATGTTAAATTTAGTTTTAAGTTTAGAGAATCACGCCAGAATTGGCATCAGTGTCTACTTTTGTAGTGAAAATAAAATAAGAAGGACGTTAAATGGAGGATTAATTTTTAAACCACGCAAACGTAGTTTTAGGATTTAGGTTATGTAATTAGAAAATTCTCGAAGCGTAGGTACTACTCACTGACAAACAAATGACAAAAATTCAGAAGCTATGGGCCTTAAACTTTCTATGTTTAGATATTCATGATTTGTGGAAGCACTTATTGTGTTGTTTAACTATCCTTTGAATTTATAGTTCAAAGTTGTCAAACAAATTGTCGAATCAAAATACCTACAGAGCCAAGTATTGTAAAAAGTAAATACCTTTTACGAAACGACATAAGTTTTTGACGAAGTGAAACATTACAACTTCTTGTTCAGCAAATAAAAATAAGTTTATAGTGTTTTTGATATGCCAACAAAAATATTATCGTTCACACCCGGAAATGAGGTTTCGTTCTATTTCAGTTTTCATCAACATTCAATGTTTATATGGTGATTTATAACATTGTGCTTTATCTTTACATATAAATATCTACTCTGAAAATGATACACACTCATAATTGGCTGCTATTAATAATGTGTAAGAAAACTTTTATCAGTATTTGGTTGGTGGAAATGTGGTGAGCGATTTCAATAGGGAATTTCAGGAAGATAAAATGGCTTGGATACAATGAGAATTTCGCATTTCAAATTTCTCGTTTGTATGTCTTTCATTTCACTAAAACTGAGTTGTAAGATTACTCCTTCTTGGAAATGTCAAGTAATCAAGGGCTGATTTCATCAATCTATCTTCATGTTGGAATGATTCTTATGAAAATGATTAAATAAATATACCACAAAATCTAATTTTAATTGCCAATCATAGAATTTTGATAAGGAAATTTTAGGATGCTTACTTCTGAAGGATTTTAATAAAGAGCTATTTAACCAGAAATAAAAATTGCCGTAATAATAAATTAAGATTTCGTATTCCTTGAAGAGTTATGTCTCTTCAAGAAATACATATACACGTGGAATTGTTTTTCTTAAAAATTCTGAATAAAATAAGCACTTAATAAACACACAAGATCAACAAAATCACAGTGCCATTTAAGACCAAACATAGACTTTTGTTCTAAAATATACATGCTTTGGCTAAAGAGATGAATACTCATTTTAAAAAATAAATAGAACTCGGAAAAACCAGATGCGTCATAAATGTGTTGCCGGCTTGAGTGCGCTCTCGTATTTAAAGTTCTCAGGTCCGGAACAATAATTGATATAAGTTGATAAAAGTTTTGCAGTGCGTGCTAAGAAATTTCGTAAATTTTTGTTTTTAGGACCGTTTTGTAGGAACACGTGACCACTTAATTTTAATGATTATCGACTTCTGTATGTTAGAAAATATTCGTTCTATAGACGGCTGAAGTTTTAATTTGAAGCAAACAACTATATAGATCCTACCTTCCTCACAATCATTTATTCCACAACACATTTATATTGTAGATCTCCAGAATTTATGATTTCAAATTTAAAGTAATAATAAGCATTATTAACAGAGTTTGCTCAGTGATTCTAGTTAAACTAACCAATAATAATCAAACGAGTTTAGAGTCCATATTCAAAGTTATAGAGCTAATTTATATATTTAAGTTGTGCCATTATTTTACTAATTAAAAAAAACCTGTGGTTCAAATCTAAAGAAAAGTTTACTAGAAAAAAATCCACGCGGACCAGGCAGCGGACGGGACTCGAACCCGCATCCTTCGCTATCCGGGCGAATGCACTGACCATTATGCTACCACGGCCCTATTAACCGCGTCGAAATTTTCCTAGCCTTAAGCTGCAAGGCAGCGCCATCTCTTCGCATTGTAGGTAACCCACAATATCAAATGAATACTTTTCATTTGACATTATATTTATTTTTTTCTAGTAAACTTTTCTTTAGATTTAAACATCTAGCAGTTAAATGCTTAAAAAATAATCATAACCTGTGGTTTATTTAAATACTTACGTAATTTTGTGTTCATCAGCAATGAAGTAAATTCCTATTAAGTACACGACCATACCTAGCATTTTTAGTAGTAAACAGGAAGATTTACGATAATTACAATATTTTAACTACAACGGAATCCTAAAGAAATAAAAGTATAAAAAAATATATTAAAAAAGTACCTTTTATTTTTTTACTTATAGAATAAACTAATTAACATATTTTAATATTTTCATCCCAGTACACTCAAGAATCAATACAATCACACCAGCAGTCCCCATAGACATTGTAACGGAGACTGTACAAGGAAAATTCACAATAAAGAGAACGCCAATACTTCTCATGATACCAGACAAGGAGCCACTGTTCCGAAGACAACACCAGACGAATACGCAACAAACAACAACGACAATCCCAAAGCAGCTGTACTTGAAATATCACGCCAGTGAATATATTCAGGACTATGATCAGCCATTCATTGCTCCCGTGAAACCACAATACGAAGTGCCAAGTATAAATCATGGCCAACAATTGTTCCATGGACAGATGATACCCTTAATGAAGAAGGTGGTCGATATAAGAGCTTTCAAACCTCCTCGGCATCGGGTACCTTTTACACCTCCAGATCTGATCGAAGTACCTGAACGGCACTGGCACTATTCACATGTCAATTTCCATCGACCAAATCATCCTTTGATTCGCCTACATGATGACTGAGAAACGATTGATTTTATTTATCCATTCTTTCAATTATATGAAGGGTCATTTATGAACAGCATTTAAGATATTTACTAATAAAAACACATTTAGAAATGCGGCTAATATTATTTGGTTCACCACCAGCACGTTATAGCTGGTGGTCGACCAGTCACCAGCGCGGTGACGGGCCACCGATCATGTGCGCCGCCCGCCAAGAAGTTATGACTTAGTTTCCAAATATTTTTTCTGAATACTGTGAATTAATAAATTAACTCAGAAGTTAATTACCACTAGCGAATAATTCAGTTATTAAAAAAACTATATTTGGTCTTAGTGCCTTTGTAATCAACTTTCTTTAGGATACGACGAGGGAACGGGACTGTTGCCCTTAACACAGATTATTTTATAATCTAGCTAGGGCTCAGTGTGACTACATATGTCAGAAAAATCTGATGCCTAAGAATGTTTTTACTATTACCTACTTTATAAGTTAAAAATAATAGATTATCATGTAAATTAACGAATGACCTTCTAAACAAAAAACATGAAGATATCAGAGAATTTTAAAATGTGTAAAAACTTCGATAAACTTAGAGTACGAATCTTTAATGCCATCGCCCTCGCAAATCCAAAAGAAGGCATGAAATATATGTTGGAAACAGACAAACAAAAGGAGTCTTTTTTAAATGCGAAAACGTGATCATGTTACCAAGAGAATTCTTAAGATTATTCTTGGAAATGGCTTTATTTTTTAAGAGTTGGTTGGGCATAAGCTTATTACGGCTCTTATGTTTCTGATGGATGAAATTCTGAACACAATCTATTTTCATATTACAAGTAAGAACTAACGTTTTTGACCATAATATTACAGAATATTTCATATTTATTTCAATTAATGTGGTAGGGTTGCACATGAAACGGGAGAATTATAAATAAACTAGCTTGCGCCCGCGACTTTGTCCACGTTAATGTTAGTTTTTTTAAGAGCCCCGCAGGTCTATAGCATTTTTCCAAGATAAAAAGCTCGATTTCATCCAAATTCGTTCCGCCATTATGTTATTAGTAGGATTTATATAATAATCAATAGTCACTAAAGATCGCAGTGAAATCACGACTTTTCATAAATATATTCAGTATTTCTTTACGGTGAGTATGGTTCCTCACGAATTAGTGTTAGGTTAAGCCTTAGATCTAATTATCTATGATTTAGATCCTTAGACTCTAAATAGTCTCTTGTCAAAGGACAAGCCATTGTTTAAGATTATTTCTAACTAGCGGCTGGCCGCAACTTCGTACGCGTGGAGTTATTTAGAAATAAAGGTTCACTGCTTCAATATAATCTATATCAAATATGTAGCCTATATGTTGACCCGACTTCTTAATAATATTCGTGCCAAATTTGAAGTAAATCCATGCAGTACTTTTTAATTTATCCCGGACATACATACAAAATTTCTAAAAACTATATTTGTGGCTTCGGTATCGATTGTAGATCACACCCCAAGTGTTCTTTAAAAAAAATGTTCTATGTACAGTTTTGACTTTCCTACCATTTTATTATATGTATAGATTATAGTAGAGGAGCCCAAGCGGGGATTTTGGATTTTACTCGAGCGCGGCAGATACTTAAAAAGACCTATTACTTACGTTTCAAATTAATTTTACGTACTTACCTGATCCTAATCCTTCCAAATTCCGTTTCACAACCTTTTACCCTGTCGTGGCCAATGCACAAACCGTGCGGGCCATTATAATAATAAAAAAAAAAATAGGTCAGCAAAAAATTTTTTCAACAATCTGCTGCGACTTTTGTTATCAAATAGTCAGTCTTTTGAATAGGAGCTACTGAAAAGTTCACGAAACATCCCTTCTCAATGTCTGACACACTTATATATGTATTTCCTATTTTCTACTCCTTTGTACGGCCACCCCGTCACCACGTCAACCGGCAGATTAATATTTTGCTGTCATCTAAAACGCTACGTGAACTCCTTTTTTTGTATGCTGGGGAAATGCATAAAATTGCATACCAATTGGTGGTTATGTGGGGCTCTCCTCCCCAGAAGGGGGAGGCCTACCCACTAAAACCCCAGCGATGGCCGCCATCAAGCATTGTACGGGGTCTCAGGATCGAGTATCGCATCTGAGGACCCGCAGCCTTTGCTCCCCTACTTCCACCAGGTGAGCCCTTCTCGGGGGAGTGTTCGCAGCCTCCCCCGTCAACCCTCCTACTAGCAGATACAAAAGACTGACGAGTTGGAACAAAAGTCTTTCTAGTTCTGCTGCACTCGAGTAAATCCCAAAATCCCCACTTGGGCTCCGCTGCTATTAAAATAAAAAATAAAAACACTAATTCGATCTGCTGTATCACATTATAGAGCTCTGATTAGTATCGGAGCTAAGAATGAACAACTTTGGTATTAAAACCACCCAGGCATGACGGAAAACGTTACTTTTGTAACACTTTGCGTTACTTTTGGTCCTTTATCTTCACGTTACCTGACTGAAATATTAATAATAATAATATTCTTTATTGTAATACACCATACAAGACACACAAGTAAATTAAAAAACATGATAGATAGAACGTACACAATATAGGCGGCCTTATTGCTAGGCAGCAATCTCTTCCAGGCAATCCATAATAGAAAGATAAATAAATATGAAGGAGAAAAGAAGGGGTGTTATCTATACTTATAATAAATCTGTAGAGAGGTCAATTCTGTACATGAAATATATTTTCAAAATAACTATCAGGGGGTGATAAGTGATCGATACTGATGCCAAAAATGCAATCAGTAAAATTTTTGTCTGTCTGTCTGTCTGTCTGTGTGTATGTTCCTTATAGAAATAAAAACTACTCGACGGATTTTAACGAAACTTGGTACAATTATTCTTCATACTCCTGGGCAGGTTATAGTATACTTTTCTTCACGCTACAATCAATAAGAGCAGAGTAGTTAAGGGAAATGTTGGGAAAACGGGAGAAGTTACTCCATTTTTTAAGCTTCCGTCGCGTGTGGAGCCTTAATGGTTAAAGTTACATAGAAATCATGTATGACGGAAATATTCTACATAAAATTGTCTAAAACATATCCCGCAACAGCATACGTCTATCTTTTATGGTTGACTCACAATAACACGTGTAACTCCTGATAGCTTAGCAGTTCGGAGCATTCTGATTATATTTGTTTACTCTTACGTTTATAATACTCTCACTCATCCCTTATTTAAAAAAGTTAACATTATTACCTATTCAATAAAAAAAGAATCATAGAAATCGGTATAGAAACACCAAACTTATACATGAAATAAGTCATCGCGCCGTCGCACGTGAATACTGAATCATGCTTTAAGGATTATTTTTGTGTAACGGCTGCCGCGCTCGACACGGGTCGTGGCGGCGCGGTAGGGTATAAAAAGGCGGGAGGTCCGAAAGCGAGCTTCCCCGCCCCCCCGATCCTGAGAGACCTTCAGTCGCTCAGTCCCAAACCGATACGGATGCACATCAGGGTGCATCCGTCCTCTAAGCGCACTATGCAGTAGTATTTACTAAGGCAGCGCTGCATCATCCCCTTCTCAGGGGTTGATCGCATCAGATGAAGCCTGTAAGGCCCCTAAGGCCATAGGCACCCCGCACGGGTGTGTTTTAGTCAGTAAGAGTCTGACAGAACTCTACAGCCGGCTGTAGGGTATCCATGAGGATTTGGAGGAATGGAGGAATCAAAAAAAAAGAAAGCGAGCTTCATTCAATATTTGGCTGTTGATGCGTTCAGAGCGTTCGACCTTATTGACAGACAATAATTGATATTGAGAAACGTGCTTATCTTAGAATAAAAACCAAACATTTGTAAACAAAATTAGCAAATAAATCATGTAAAACGTCTAGAAAATGAGTACTGGAAAACGGAAATATGATAATTTTAGTTTGGTTATAAATACAGGTAATAAAAATGACCGTTATTATCTATACTTATAATAAATCTGTAGAGAGGTCAATTCTGTACATGAAATATATTTTTCAAAATAACTATCAGGGGGTGATTAGTGATCGATACTGATGCCAAAAATGCAATCAGTAAAAATTTTGTGTCTGTCTGTCTGTGTGTATGTTCCTTATAGAAACAAAAACTACTCGACGGATTTTAACGAAACTTGGTACAATTATTCCTCATACTCCTGGGCAGGTTATAGTATACTTTTCATCACGCTACAATCAATAGGAGCAGAGTAGTGAAGGGAAATGTTGGGAAAACGGGAGAAATTACTCCATTTTTTCAGCTTTCGTCGCGTGTGCAGCCTTAATGGTTAAAGTTACATAGAAATTATGTATGACGGAAATATTCTACATAAAATTGTCTAAAAAATATCCCGCAACAGCATATGTCTATCTTTTATAGTTGACTCACAATAACACGTGTAACTCCTGATAGCTTAGCAGTTCGGAGCATTCCGATTATATAACGTAAATATGAGAATTTTAGTTTGATTATAAATACAGGTAATAAAAATGACCGTTTTTATCTATATATGTATATAAAAGTCAAAGGGGACTGACTGACATAGTGATCTATCAACGCACAGCCCAAACCACTGGACGGATCGGGCTGAAATTTGGCATGCAGGTAGATGTTATGATGTAGGCATCCGCTAAGAAAGGATTTTGATCAATTCTACCCCCAAGGGGATAAAATAGGGAATGAAAGTTTGTATGAAACTTTGTCAATTTTAAACCAATCGGACTGAGACTTTGCATGCAGGTATAAGAAGAATCATAGATGAATGTCATTGTGTTTAATACAAGCCTGAGAAAAAAAAACTATAGTGTACACTTCAGCTCTACACCGAAGCGAAGCGAGGGCGGACCGCTAGTAGAAAATAATAATAATGCAGAAATAAGGCAGGAAAACAGATATATCTAAGGAATATGGCAGAGAGAGGATGAAGGATTTTTAAAGTTATACTTCTTTAGGCGCGTTATGAAAAAATGATGAGAGTGAAATTTTTAGATGCGCGCGCATCACTGTAACCCAAAAGTAACAGCATGAAGTTGGCCGCGGGCGCGTTATGAAAAAATCATGTGAGTGAAATTTCGAGATGCGCGGGCATCACTGTAACACAATAGTAACACCATGAAGTTGGCCGCGGGCGCGTTATGAATGTTAGTGTCTAATAATATTAGACATCTGTTCGAAAGGTACTTTGAACGATCCACGGAGCTCCATAAGATGATCGCGTTGTCAAAAACAATGTTGGCACGCTCGTCGCCTCTGATCACCGTTTTCATATTTATAATATTTATCCACATGTTTCTAGTTTCTATATAGACACAACGTGTTTTAGTTACTTACAAGTGCTAATTACATATGGACTAATAACTTAAATTCAGTAGTGATTTTAATTGAATATTTTGAATATTTATTTAATTTTTCAAATTAAAACTGAACTTAATTGACTGTGTTAACTATCCTTTTCCAGTCCTTTTATTATTTTATTGTAATTATTAATTATTTGCATGCAATTAAAAAATATTTTTAATGATGCTAAACAAGTATAACTTCTCACGCGCGTACATAAGTTACACGCATCCATTTTTTTTTTACATCACTGTTGGGATAAGAAATAACTTCGAACTTTTACTATTACTTGTTCTCTACTTTTTAATTGAAAGAAAATATTAAATACTTTTCATTTACTCAATGCTAAAGTGCGTTAAACTGAAAATCGTATGTGAAATCTTCGATGATCTTGGCTCTCTTTGCTGTCAATGTAAGAAGGAGATCTTGAAGGTCTTAAGGGCTGAGGGCAACAAAATAAGTCAAAATTGTAGAAGCGATTTTGAACTTTTTATCTTACCACTGAGGTTGAAAAATTATTTTAGAATTTGGCAGTTTTGTAGAGCTTGGTAAGCTATGGTAGTCGATGCGTGAACTAAAATTGATCGACGTTCTTAACTTACCATTGTTTAAAACAAAAAGAAACCACTGACTAAAATTAAAATTCACTAAAGTTTAAGTTTTTTTTTAAGTCTAATGTAAGTACTTTTTATTGTTTTTTGATAAGAAGCTGGTATAGTTACTCTCTTTATTTTTCATACATTAACCCAGGGTTGAAGCGAGAGTTGTTTTTAATATAGGATAGCGATAATAGTAATAATTAAGTATTTGATAGAGGTGGTTACCAAATATTCAAGAGTATGTCTGTTTAATTTTCATCAATGAAAATCTCAATCAATGGTGCAGAGGTCAGCACGTTGAGTCTGTGATCTTGGAAGTCAAGCAGTTAACTTGCCGGGTCTTAAGATGGGTGACCAATCATTTATTATCTCGAGCTGCTTTCTCATTAAGAAGTTGGTTGCGGCTGAGTCTGTCATCCATAGGGATAGCCTATGCCTTAAACTTAGCAGTGGGTACATTAATGGACTCATGATGAATTAAACTAAACAAAATGACTAACAAAACATTGGATTTATTTACAACAGGTTCACGTAGCACTTATTATATTTTTGGAACACATTTAGGTTAGATTTCAATGGAAGCATAGTAACAAATGACGATCAAACCTTAAACGAAATCAATTATTCACAGTTCAAAACGTCAATATTCAATTGTGTGATGACATCAAGGCGAATTTACAATAAATTATAAAAAAATATAAGTAAAAAAATTTTATATAAAAGTTTGCGTATTTTTTGTTTCCTTTAATACAATAACTTGTAAAATCTGTATAATGGACTAAGCACGAGGTTTAACTTAGAGATATAACTTGACTAGAGTAAGGTATCACTTTAATAAATTAATTATCAGATAACGTTCTTCTTAAGTCTTCTTAGTTTATAAAGAGAGATAATGAAGTTAACTTAAATAATGAACAACAGAAGAAGACAAGAAAAGAAACTGGAATATGACTTGGAAAATGTACAAAAAACAGGAAATGATACATTTTAATCTTCTTTGTCCGCCCAAATACTATCACCGTTGACTTCTGTAGTGCCACGGACAAACTTCTTGATGATGGGTAGTTTGTACATATAAACTGATAATGCAGATCCAGCGCAAGCACCGATCCAATAGACAACTGCGTGTTCCAACAGCGAGTGACCTTCGCATCCTGCTTTCAGTGAGGTGGCCAGAACCGGGTTGAAATATCCACCGGAATATTCAAAAGCTGCAATAACAAACAAATATATTTAGATTCCTCAAATGGGTAAGTTATATGGATGATGTTATAGTAGATACCTTCGGTTTTCATTCAAGGTCTTTACCCTCAAAAGTAAAAATGTCAAATTCTTTCTGTCAGAAATTTTGGATCATTTTAAGTTAAATCTTGGCGAAAAAGCAAAAATATCTATATTTTTAAGTAATTATGGGTATTCTTTTGGATATTCTGGATTATTTTAATATTAACGAAGATTATTGAATAGTAGCTGCCATTTTCCGCTTAGTATTTTCATATTAATATGGTTAAAAGTTGATACTACCTACACTTCTTTTGTGATGTAGATAAAAAATACCGTTAAATAAATCAACCGATATTAATAAGAAAACTATAACAATATTACGTATCCAATCTTTTTTGTACTATCAGTCAGTAAATCGACACCAATTATCAGTTCAGAGTTAACATATTTTCACTTATATATCCATAGGTTTCGCAGTAAACAAATCATTTATTTAATTAAAATTTTACTAGACTGTATGTCGGCGCATTTATTTCTTGTCAAAATGTATCTGTACAGTTCTAGAAAACTAATGATATAATAAAAAAAAATCTATAAAGCGTAATTAAAAGGACTCAAATACAGTGACATTCTCAATTGTATTTGTTTATTATACGAGTATAACCGTACAAAACTACATTATATCTTCAATAATTTTATTAATTACAATACGACATGTAGTGAACAATGTGGTCGCAAATGAAGTGGCTAATGATAGCTCAGTATATTTAGTTTTAATACAAATTAAAAAGCATCGATTGATGAATTGCATCCATTGTGATTGAGGTCATGTAAATGAAGTAGATACGTTTTGTGAACCATGCGCAATGTTATGATTAGTGGACAATTAATTCACGATTTAAGTACCTTTTCCTAAATGTACTTTGCAAAAGATGGACACGCTTAAGTCCGCATTGGCACTATTGTCCTGATACCGGTAGACGAAAACCGTGTGCCTAGTGAGGACTCCTGCAAAAGTGAACGCGATTGAGATAATGTGTGTATGAGTGATTCTCTTAAATTGTTCAATGACTCTACGGATTTAGCTGAGTAGCAATTTTACGCTGGTTTTTTAGAAGATGCCAATAATTAATAATTTGGTGAAGTACTGCTTTATTTGCTGATATCGGAGATTTTTTATATGTTAATTTCGTTACTTATAGTGTTATCTACAAACTAGTGTTTTGTAATCAATTTCTAAAAATCAATCAATTTCCGAAAAGTTCTATATTACAATCACTCATGAGAAATTCAACAATAATAGGCTACCATAAATGCACTGGAATAGTGAAAAGTATCATGTGGATCGAAATTTCAATAGTGGAGTATGAAAGATTTGATCTCTTTACATGTATGTGAAAAAGTAATCAAATGTGTTGTTATTAAAGCATAATTTCCAGCGAGCGAAAAATCGTGACATGGTCATGATGTAGTCCGTAGATTTGATCGAGTTGGAACAAAATAAGAATAAAAACAATACGATTCATGTATTTCATCTTACCGGCGACGACTAAAGAAGTCCCGATGAAGGCATCGATAGCGGTTGAGAACCGAGGATTCAAGTCCCCTAAAGCTTTGGAGGCTAGTCTACATAGGCAGGTTGCTACACCTTCGACGACTGCTCCATATAATACTGGTACCTAAAACGAAACTTTATTTATAATTTCGAAGCGATGTGATAGATAGGCAGTGTTTATCAAAAATATTAAGATTAGGTTAAATTAAATATCTACACTGAAGCCGACTCTGGGATGATTCTCTAAAGCTAAAATTAAATTTGACAGTAGTTTATTGTTGTCATTCTATAAACAGAAATAAAAGAAAAACCTGATGTTAGGTTTATAATAATAATAATAAATATTGCCAACTTGTGTTATGGGATACTAGGGTAACGGATATAATACATATACTATACATACATAAGTATATTTATATAGAAATACATATTAAACATCTTTGACTGGAGTACAAAATGCTCGTATTCTCGTGACTGGAGTACAAAATGCTCGTATTCCACTCGGCCACGGAGGTCGTCAAGAGGTTTAGTTTTAAGTTTAGAGAACCATGCCAGAATCGACACCATTCTTAAAGTTTATTACACGCATTGTTTTACAAAAAAACATCTGAAAGGGGAATTTGGAAAACAAAACTCAATATTTGTAACTGCTGTTGTTAGAGTTTTATTATTTATTTTTTTACCACTATGTGGACGAACTATCTAATAAAGGTCGTGGGAAGCCCCTAGATGCAGACAGCTTAATTATTCTATATTTGAGAGTCCCATGTTCAGCAGTGGGCTGATAAAATGTAGACTCTCTATCTGACTAAATTTCATTAAACTTACGACATAAAATATGTAATCCGGACGTTTTTCATTTTATCTTTTATAAAATTAATCTTGTGCCCTAACGGACTCTGAGCGTGCGTCTAAAGAAACGCAGCCTTGTCTGGAAAGGGTGATTCAATCTGGCACTTTATATTAAATCTGAGATTATAAGACTTCAGATTTGGATTCGAGTGCATTTTTAATAAAAGTTAATAAAACTAATATTAATACGCCACACAGAAATCAGTTAGAGCACAAGCGATATAGATTGGTTTAAATGCACTTAGTAACATTTATAGGTTATTTTTATCTTCACACGAAATCTCATTTTTTATTTAAATAAATATTATTATTATGGTTATATTTATAAATGTTCAAAACAAAAAAAGTTCTGCATTGTTGTTTAAGTAAATAATAGCTTTTTGGTTATATTCATTGGACAACAGCAACATACTCTAAACGGTCAAACTAATGTAAAACATGCTCCCCAAATGACTCCCATGAATGAACTCAAATAATTACTTTGAATACTTATCAGTGATGCATGCAAAATGTATTCCATTCATTTACGAGCGAAAACTAAGTGGTAGGCTCTTAAATTTCATATCATTAGCTATGAAAATATGTAACTTAGGTACTTGTATTAAATTCAATAACTTTACCCAATGCATGTTAGTAAGTTTAATTTAATTATATTGATGTTAAGCATTAAATGTAAAGAAAATTTTACTAGAAAAAAATTCATGCTGTTCAGGCTGCAGACGGGTTTCGAACCAGCTCCTTCTGCTATGCGGGCGCCGCCAGGCAGCTTAAGAAATACTACAAGAAATTTGACACGGCCACTAAGGTCGCGGTAGCATAATAGAATAGTGCGTCCGCTCGGATAGCGGAAAGTCCGGGTTCGAATCCCTTCTGATGGATCGCGTGGAAATTTTTCAAGTAAACTTTTTTTAACATGTTTTTTTACCTGTAGATCGGCTTTGCAGTCTTCAAAAGCCTTATCTTTATGCGTCTCAGATATTTCAAGAGCCCAATACATTTGGACGTATTTAAATACCAGAAGACCGCCAGTCAATTCCGCCCAGGTTTTTAGCAAAGCTTTTCGAATATCACCTTTGCCTGAAAAAAAGTTAAGTATTATTTATTTGTTTATATGGTTTACCAGTGTTTGTTTACACATTACTTAAAACTATTTACAAGATTAACTATACACTATAGTAAAACAATCTGTTAAGGTAAGCACCGCATGCATTAAAGAAGACGCTAAAAATAGACATTAACTTAATTACAATATTATTTTTATTATTATTTATTCCTAAATTACGACGTTGTTCTTTTTAATTATAAATTACAATACAGGTTTCATATAAATATCAAGCTTAATTAGTTAGTTTGATGCTACGTTTGGGAGAATATTCTTTTGAGCTTAAGAAGTGAATCATTAAAAATATCAATAATATCACTACAACTGTTATGGACCTTTGACAACCTTGGTATTGGGGAGTTTGTGTCATGCACTGTTTCACGAAAAGAAGGATACAATAGTGATATGGCGGTACGGGGAATCCTAGGCACACGAAGTTTAAATTTTTAGAATAATTGCGGGTAATTTACTTTATTATTTAACATTTTATAATAAGAGATCGAGCCAATTCCTCCGGTTTTCCAATGATGTCCTTTTGAAGTGATTCGGTCTTCATATAATCAGCGTATAAAAGCGGTGTAGAATGCAAAAAGCAGTTTGATATATCATTAATAAATACATTAAAGAAAAGCGGACCTAAATGTGATCCTTGCGGAACTCCTGATATTATGGTCTATGGCAAAGACTGGTATCCATTAACCACCACGAAAAAACTACTATCATGAGTACAGAGAACCGGTTATGCCATAGGCAGCCAGCTTCGACAAAAGAATCTAATGCAGAATGCTTTCCTGAAATCTGTATACAATACATCAATTTCTTTGCCATCATCAAGCGCCTCCGCTACAGTTTCAGTAAGCAAGATGAGATTTGTGCAGGTAGATCTAGATTTCATAAAACCACGTTGATTGTCAGTGACATACTTATTAAAGTGATCAAAAACAATAGGATAGACAAGAGACTCGAGGTTCTTAGCAAGCGTCGATAAAATTGAAATAGGCCTATAGTTAGTGACCATTTCTACCCTATCAGCTTTATGAATTGGAACAACTTTAGCAGATATCCGGAAATATCCCACTTTGAAGCGACTTGTTGTAGAGTAAGTAAATTGGAGTAACAAGCTCATTAGCACACTTAACTATAAAAAAAGGAATAATTTGATCTAGGCCCCTTATCCGGATCCAGAGACTCCAGGCTTTTAAAGATTTTATCTTTGTTAAAAAGGGTTTTATTAGAGTCTGACTTTAAATAGAGATGGATTGCCAAGAATCACTTTTCAATTCAAACTATCATTATTCTTATCCCTGTGTGAATTATAAACTGCATTACAATTTGAAGCAAACAAATTGTAAATTTCATTACCTTTTGACTAAGATACAATACCGTCAGTAATTGAACATGAAGAACTATTTATACCTCACTTTTTTGATTTAATAAAACTCCAGTATAGCTCAGGTTAGTTTTAATATTCCCTTCTATAGTCTTGATATACTTTTTATAACAAAAACCAGATAATTTGCTACAACGTTTACAAATCAGTCGCAACTTAATCTCACATAATGGATTTTATATTTTTTTATCGCTTTCTAAGTCTATCCTTCTCTTTCAGCAATTTTTTTCAAGGTATGGTCCAGCTAAGGGACAGAATATTTATTTGAAAGTTTCTTTTCAGGCACAATTTTATTTATTTGTTTCTTAGGTTTTCAAAATAAAGTTTCGTGCATTAACCCGTGAAAAACTAGTTTTATTTAACAATTTTATTTATTAGTTCATTAATCATGGTATAAAATAAATTGGTAATTTCATTCATATCTTGGCATTTCTAAAATAATACATCCCATTCATATTCACTCAAACATTTACGGATCTGTACATAATCTGCTTTGTTAAATTTGGAAAATCTAGGGTAGGGCGATGGCTATCAACTTTGGTTAGGTATAATGGATTCGGTAACAGTACACTGAGTGGATGGTAGGTTTGTCAAGAATAGATCCAATATACAGCCTGATCAAATGTAACAGGTCAATAAATGATTGGAAAACACAAGGTACTACATAAATACTAGAAGATTAATTTACCAAGCTCCAATTGATCATACATAAATCCATAAATCACCAACGATACAGTGAAATATCTCTTAAGGAAACATGTTTGCTCACCTTCAATGACATCCTCAATATGAGTATATGGACAAGCTGTCGCATCACCCCAGTTCATGGACCACCAGATTGTCAGCAAGAACAGGAATATGGCGTACGTTCCCACCCCGAAGTTGTCAGCCACTGAAACATAGAACATTATCCTTTTTAGGTCCACTTGCAGCTATTCGATCATATCAGATTTGGCCCTACAATAATTTTAAATTGACATTGACGTTTTGACATTTTTCTATATGGGATAAAGCTCGTTTTAGTTGAATCGGGATTAAGCAAATTAGCTGCAAGTGGGCTTAGTGTTATGAGATGATTATGAGTTTATGAGTCGTAGGGCTGCGTTGAATTCTGCGTCAAACGAAATATTTGTATGAGTAAATATAAGCCGTCCGAACTGACACTTTGTCTTTTTTACCCCAGACAGACATTGATCAATTTTACTCGCCATAAGATGCAACCATAATCACCAAAATTATCAATCAAGTTATTTTGAACGAATACGCAAGATGCTTTGGCCTTCCGTATTGATGCTTTTACTATTTCTCATCGAACATTTTCAGGTATTTTTATATAAGTAAAGAAAAGTTTTACTAGTAGAAATTAACCTAGCTCAGGCATTAGGCTGAATTTAAGTTGTAGTGTAAATAAATGCTTGTCGTGGAACAACAGTTAAAAATATTTATATACCAGCCAATAATCCGCACTAAATCCGCATGGCGAGTCATGGCCTAATCTCCCTATTCCATAAAAAAGTATCTTACCCACCAACTCACACAAGGCCTAGTGCAGATTGGGCCCATGCCTCCCCTACCCATCTCATTATATCGCTATTCCATAAAAAAAACCGGCCAAGTGCGTATCGTGCCACGCGCAATAAAGGGTTCCGTGGGTGCTCGTCGTTACCACAATATATTTTGGAAAGAGTTTATATTAAAAGCAATTACTTCGTCCAAGTCACTTTTAATGTTTTCTTCTAAGCATTTTTTATTAGATCAGATATATTTTCTAATACATAATTTGAACAAATATGACTCTTAAAATAACAAATCTGTTTTAAGATAATTTAAAGCACTATATCATGTTTTTTTCCAGGTTTCTCAAGCCAATAGTTTAGCTTTTACAGGGGGGGGGGGGAGAAGAATACCCTTCACAAATAAAAGTTAGCACTTAAAAGTTCAATATTTCACAATCAAATTCCTAAATTGAAAAATAGTCTTAGGAACCCCTTAGTAATTTTAAAAGACCTATTCAACGATATCCCACACGATGTGATAGATGATGAAAAAATTTAATCAACGCCAGGTTACATGTAGGATAGCTACCTTAAAAAATTATTTTATTAAATTTTTCCTACCATTTTATTGTCATGACGGACAGAGAGACGGACATGACGAAACTATAAGAGTTCCTTGTCAGGACTATGGAACCCTAAGAACCGTGTGCGCCTCGGGACTCACGACAGAAGTGATAACTTAAACTAATCTAAGCGACGCTGTGGGTTAGAGTGAAAGAGGAGGAGCCTGCCTACCGTTGCCGTATGCGAGAAAGGGAAGCCAGACAGAGTCGCGCCGTAACGCGTTACGTAACGAAGTGGTTTACGAAGAAGACCTACCCATAACAAGTTAACACTTCAACAAAAAGTATCCAACCTAACAATAGCACTTAGGCCCATGGGCTGGGGCTCATAGCCCGATCTCCCGATTCCATAAACTAAAACCAAGTCCAATGCCACCACCGTCAGTGGCGCCAACCTAACTGGCCAATTTAATTATCCACCCCGCCTCACTGGGTTGTGATGGATTTTTTAAAAACATATTTCGACTAGCTATAAACTGTTCGAAACGGAACTTTATTCCAAAAGAATATAACAAAACATGTATCACGACTTTGATAAAAAAACTTATTGCCTTCCTTGGAAGTTCTCGGTAACAAGTCACAACAATAAATGTAAAATGTTATAGCTTCAAGATCTAGCTAAAGTTAAAACTATGCTAAGCTGGGGATAATGACTGCAAACAAGAAGAAGCAGACGGACTAAAGAAAGTAAGTATGCAGCGGAATCTGCAGCGATAACTGTTGAACATTGTTTGAGTTGTTTAATTGCACTATCCGTTCGTTCGGGCTCAAGTCGCATCCCCGCTGTTGCAATCAGCAAAAAATTTCAACTATACAAAAAAAAAGAATTTCATAAAACACCGGTTCTAGGAAATAATATGCTGAGGATATGCTCAGCTGTATTCTGGGAGCAGCTCGATGGCGCAGTATTTAGGGTGAATCTTATGTTACCAATGGAATCAATAGATTTTCGGGACAAAACATGTCATAAACCACAGACAGATTGAAAAAAATAAGGCAAGTGTATATACTTCGCGTGCAAAAAGGATGACCAACGGTCTTGATATTACATAAACTTAAGCTGTAAAAGGTAGGAGTACGATGGCGCAGGTGGCTAGCGCGTTCGGCTGGTATCGTTGAAGTTAAGCAACTTTCGCCATGGTCGGTCATTGGATGGGTGACCAAAACCAAGATGGTGCTTCGGAAGGTACGTTAAGCCGTTGGTCCCGGCTGCATCTGCAGTCGTTCACACTCGCCAATCCGCACTGCCCCCCGTGGTGGGTCATGGCCCAGTCTCACTATTCCATCTATAGAGAAGGCCTGTGCCCCAGCAGTGGGGACTAATAGGCTGATAAAAATAATATAATAGATTACCGACCATCACTTATTTGTTATCATGAATACCCAAAATCTGACACGCTCGGTTTCCATACAACATGCGGCGGTTACTTCAATCTGTGTCACACACGTTTTGCGTAAAAAGAACTCGATAACGCATTAATTAGCGCGTTCGGTTTGCAATCTTGGAAGTTAAACAACTTTCGCAATGGCCTGTGCCCGAGTAATGAGATTATTAATAGGTTTTATCTAGGGATGATATCTTTTAAGTGTCAGAAGACTTCATAAGTTTCCTTTTTAATTTGGATATTTGGTGCTTTCACATCCTCGACCACGCACAAGAAGAAGCTTAATGACACCATAAAATTGTATACCCAAATGCAATACTGTTCTTTGTTCAGTGACATCAAGAACGTGAGGATTTTTCCGCCTGTTGGAAACTGATCCTTAAATGTACGTTAACGGCAGTCGAACTCACTTGATCCATTTGGATTCGGAATTGCCATGCTATTCACAAAGTTCGACGCTGCAACACTTGATCGTTTTCCTACTGCATCCATTACTCGTTATTTGACCCGACTTTAATCTGAACTAAGCTTATGATTTTCTTCACTGTATTTCGGTATTCCAGCTAAATTTTAAACAGCGTCAAGGAACTTACGTCCATGAATTTAAGTATCGCGTGTCGGTTAATTATTCGCAAGGTAGTTAATAAATTAATTATGAGCGTCAATAAAACTAGCTGCCTTAATATGAACTATAATTATGGTTTTATATGTCCCTGATCTAATCCAAAACCATAACTCGATTATAGCTTATGGTTCAGAGCTCACCAGATTAATCTAGGCTTCTTATGATAGCTTCAAATATGAAATAATTGATGCTAGTCCCGGAAGCCAAATAATATTTAAGAAGTATCTTCAAAGAAAAATGTTAACCTTATAAAATCTGAACTAAGACCATAATATGGTCTATAGACATACTAAGGACATACAAATTACAAAATTAATCGTGAACGTACTAATTTAAGATATCATATTGTAATTATAAGTGATAAGATGAACTTAGCATGAAAAATTAATGAAAAGAAATCTAAATCTGAATATATTCTTTAGTAAACCAAACTCAGGACATGGCTAGTAAATAAAAATAATAATTAAACAGCAGCATCTTAAAAAATCTGATATTTACATAGTATAATTATAATAAAAATAATATTTATTTGTTAAAGTTGTACATGGTAATATTCTTATAAATATGTTTAAACTAAGGCCATTATTTCACACATATATAGACATCCTCAGCCAAACTAGGTAGTTCATCTTGTATTTTGGCTTCAGCGCCCTTTGCCTATTTTTAGTTGCGATGTAGCCATACCAATCTTAAACTTGTAAACGACAAGGGCCTTAAGGATTTTCGGCCCTAAGGGCCTAATGAAAGTGCAGATAGTCCCAGCCTACAGAAGACTAATAGTCAAAACATCATTATCATTTCGGCTAAGCATAAACTACTGGGTGTAAGCCTACACTAATCATACTACAGCGATCGATCCTGCATTGCCAACACTAAGCGTTATTCGATGCGTGGTCACCTTTCGATCGATTCACACAAAGACCATCGGTTCCTGTCACTATAATGTCCCGCCTATCGCCTTTGACTTGAACAGTGGTTCGAGAGATGTCAGTTACCTTAGACCCTATGTGAACCATATTAAACGTAGTCCAAAATAGGTAACACTTGTCTGTAATTCTGTTTTGTTAAGGAATAGGATTCAGATAATAGAGGTGACTTTAGCCGCGTTTTAATCTGTCGTAACATCTGGATTCCATTCAAACTAAGAATTAGGTCGGATGACGCAATTTGTAGACCATATACGAAGTGCAAACAAATCTAAACCTTATTTATAAATTAAAGAAGAAAAGGCTAATTACCAATAATGAGTTCGAAGCAACATCCGCATAGTTCGGCAGCTGCGATCGCCTCCTCCAACAGTAATCTGACGAAAGGCTCCTGCACTGCCTTCTGCACCAGGCGCCGCGCGCAGTGGGCCAGGAGAGACGTGAGGAGTATGAACAGCGCTGATACCACTAATGGTGCAAACGTAACTTTGTTTACCTGAAAAGAAAATTCAATTTTACTCTTTTAAACTACCATATAAATCTTTTTTGCGCGTTTTGATTTGCAATGGATGATATCTCCGCTTGGAATATACACGTTCCGTGAATCTCAGTTGATGTTTTTATTTTTGTTTCGATAGCATTAGATTAAAACAACGCGTGACATTAGGAAGCCTTAAATTTAATTGATTTCTTTTGATTGGCCGTAAATAACCTTAATAACATGATTAAATATAGTTCTGTCTTCGAAATACGAAAACCTTAAATTCATATTTTACATTTTATACATTTTCGACTTAGCTGCAAAAAAAAACATTCGTCTCGGCGAACACGGTATGAGGTTAGAAACGTAGAAACATACCAACCCCGGACTCACTAAAACAAACCTTCCTAAGTATTTGCGTTACACGAAAGTTTAACTCATCTAAGCAAGTTTGTCTTTAGCTAACACCCGTTCTACACGTATAGTTGAGCTACAATCATTTATTATTGCTGCCAAATCCTATTGAACATCTTGCAAAAACGAGCAGCAAGCAAACAAATTCACCCTACCCGATGTTAAGTGGAACTGGAGAGTCCAATCGCAACATACAGATAGCTGAAGCCGCAGAAAATAATACTTACTGAGGCTCTCGCTATCCTCACCTTATCCTGCACCCAATGCTCTACCCCTGTCTCTGGGATCTTGTTACTGCGTGAATCTAGCAACAAAATTCCAGACCTTATCCAACAACACAACACTTCCAAAATGTTGAAGCATTTAATGTAGTCTTCTGTAAGATGAGATGTAGAGATAGTAGTGTTATTTATAATGGGGTCGTCTTCTGTAAAATACGGATTTACGTTTGAATTGGCTCCCCAGACGGGCACCCCAATTCGAGCGAGAAATCCACTATCCTCTCAAAGGTAAAGAAATGTTGGAATGTTAGTCTACACTTTGGATACAAATCTGGGTGGTGTTGGTTATATATTACATCGCAAATCAAAGGGTTTGATACAATGTAATGTATATCAGACGTAAGATGCTTGCAATATGACCAACAACAATAAGATAGTCAATAAGTTTGTTCACTAGGATTAGTTATTAAGCGAGTATCTTAGCTTTTAGCATACAGCGAGACCCTTTGTAATGTAGCCTTAGCTTTAGAAAAGCTAGAACATCAATCCTGCATCGTGTCTGTTTCACAAACCTAGTTTGGAGCTTAGCAACTGTTTACAGGGCAGTACAACAGGCTGATGACGGATCGCAAATTAGATAAAAACGTACGGGAGAATATTGCTCACAGAAACTGCGATTATAATGATATAACTAACCTAACCTATGATTGGGGTGGATAGCATATTATACGGGAGAATTTCCCTAACAAAACTGCAGTTGTATTTTTAGGACCTCATAGCTGGCAGGCTGGCACAATATGAATAAAACACGTTTCTAATTCATTAACCATAGAGCAAAACGGAAGCGAGTAGCCACATGCATTATAAAATCATTCAGGAATCATTTGGTTAAAGACAATATTAATCGATCGAATCAGCGATTGAATCCTACATTTTTTATTTCAACTCCTGTCAACAACTTTATGATTCAGTGGTAGGTATTTGTTTGTTTAAAATAATTACTATTCGGTTCCGATTTCTGTATTGGCAAAAGTGTCGTTACTGTTTCTTTAATATTGTGAAATTTATTATCCAGAGCTATTTTTTTATTTAATTGTAAATGTCAAATAGGAGGATGATAAGAGATGAAAAATTAAACATTCACATCCTTCCTAATCGCAATAACTAAACGCGATGATAAAAATGTTAGAGAAACTATATTTTAAATTAAAAATCACGTGTGTTTGCATTAAATTAAAATTCACGTGTGTGCCTCATATTTTCTTAAAGATAGAACAAATACCTCTAACATTACAAATAATCCGGGTTTTAACGACTTCTTAGATGCATCATGACCTTAAAATAGGTAATTTCATTTCCAACGCATTGGATATAAAAACAGAAGATGGGAAAAATAATGTCTTGTGGCGTTGTTATTTCCTTTGAAGTTTATCACCGATAAAAAACTTAACGCTAAACTTTCTGAGTAAAATTCTAAAGCACAATTCATTTGGAACGAGAATTCTGTTACATTTACAAAAAAAAATACGTGTGGCACTTGGGGACTGCCGCGGTAAAGCTATTGCATAGCATTTTTTATCAACTTATTCAATTTTAATTATTTATTTGTTTTATTTATGCAGTATTTTTTTCTTTGATATTAATTCTTTTTTTCTTTGATATTAATAGATGGCGAGGCAGGCCTTATGATATTTTATTGGGCAAGCACAGCAAACAACAGCATTGCCCGGTGCAAAAAAACTTCCACAAGCTCCACAAGTTTACCATCTTTAGTCCAAAAAAATTAATTATAATTATAAAGTCTAAATAAAAGGGAGACAAATAAAAATAAGGACAGGTGCTGGAGTCTAAAACAATTATATAAAAAAACGAAAAAAATATTAAAAAAAATATATAACAATACGAGTGCGGGATTTGAACCGACGACCGTAGTGATGCGTCGAACGTTGGTCCCGTGGCAAAAATTCAATACATTGCGCCGTTTAGTTCGATACTGCGATAACGAAAATAGTGTTCTATTGGTATATGCACTCTCGTAAGGTTTTTTCGTTACGAAATTTCTTCAGTCGCCGCGCTCAAAGCCCGCGATAAAAGCTATACAATAGCTTAAAAATCACAGGGAGAGGAGAGAGGAGGAGAGATTGGTTCTTTGCATTTGGTGCTTTTTGACCTTCGAAGGCATAACTTAAACTCAAACCTGAATTTGCAGTGAGCATATCAAAACCAAAATCTTTGTTTTAAACTCAATTGAAAATATTTCAGATAAAGCAACACCATATTTGGCTACTTCTCCAAAATAACGTTATTGTGTTGATCGCTCTGGTGCTTTTTGGTTTATTAATAGTTTAAGGTTTTACTTATTTTTGCAAAATAAGAAATCGTATGAGAATGTGTTTTTTCTTATTGTCCCTCATTTTCTGCAAACGGTTTATGAGATATATTATTTTAACCAGAGCGATCAATAAATGATGCCAGAGCAATCAAATAATACGTTAAATATGAAAAAACAATTAATTTAAATAATATTATTATTAAATTGAATTTAATTATTAATTAAATAATTATTAAATTAAAACCTGTAAATGAACTAGAAAAATATGTATATTAGTTAAAATATACTATTTCCCTGCAGTAACGGAGAAACATTTTCCCGTGGGTGTCGTAAGAAGCGATTAAGGGAATTTGGGGCTTCAATCCGCTCTACTGGTGTTAGGGCACTTAAGGCCCTTCTGGTAAGTTACCACCATGTGCATTGTGTAAAACTCGTGTAGTGCTCCTTGAGCGGGTTCGAGGTTAGCCAGCGTACAACCAGAGCTCGAGTGGGCGTTGCCGCGACAGACTCGGTCTAGAGGAGGCATCCGTCGAACTGATGCCGAGAGGATTGCATTGACCCGCCGGTCAGGGAGACCCGTAGAAACAGCTGACCACCCGTGGCACAGTCCAGGGCCTGAGCATTCCTAACCAGTTCTCGAGGCTGCCCCATCATGCTACGCATAATCTCAGGGTGGACCGTCGAGTCAGTTGGTGGGATCCGGGGCTTGGAACCTGGCTGCTACTGCCGGGATGGGGCCTTTCCATCCGGCCGATCGGTGCATCTACTATTTAGAAAGTCACTCAGTGAAACAAGGCTCGTTAATTTGCCCGGTTTTGTCGCGACAACGTCCATTCGTTTTACGTTTCTTCATCCTCTACAATAGCAGCTACTTAAAGAAAGTTCAGACGTACAGTGGGGCACACCCTACACCTTCCGCGCTGGTTGAGGTCGAGTTCTGCAAAAACCTTCACTCAAACCTGAACGCTGTCCAGGATCATCTTGAGACAGCGCGGCTAGCATTGTTGTCTCTGACGGAGACACAAATCCTTTCGCCAGCTGCCACGGGCTCCATAAATTATTCTGGCTATCTGCTTAAATAATAATATAATGCCAAACTACAATATTTTAAGTAACAAATTTATTTTAAGAAACGTAGTTCCCAAGCAGACGCCTTTTTTTTTCGTTTCGCGAAGTAGTTATTTGCGTTTATGTGTTTAAAATCAAATGCGAGATGTTGTTTAAGTTTAAAGCTATTTCTACTTAACTTTTGATAATTCCATTATCTCATCATATCATTTGTAGAGTAACTCTGAATGAACAGTAAATATTTAGTGTAAAACTAAATATTTATGTGTAATTTATTTGGACTGAATAGCATGATTGAGGTTTTGCAATAGTCAGCGACTATCGTCTATATTTTACAGACCTTTAGTAATGTAGCTGAAATGTTTACACGAGCCTTGAATGATTAAACGGACTCTGAATGAAAACATACGGGGTGGTATGGAACGTTAGAAGAGACTAGATTTACTAACCGACGACGGCATAGCATTTGACGTTCCCCAAAAGCTTGTAACAGCCTAGATTGAATATAATATTCTTAAAAAAAATATTCTTTTCAAATAAAGGTGACTGCTTTTGTTTCATGTTAAATACATGAAGTATTTAACATGAACATTCGTAAAACTGTGAAAACATTTTTATTTTCATAAATCATAGTTCGTCTTGAATATTATTTACGTAATCGCCATTTTGTAAGCAAGAAAAGGACAACAATACGCTGCGTTGAAGCGTATAGTTCTGTCTCGCTCGCTCGATTGATGTTTATATACAGACGTATAGTTGAGTCGGATCATATTTAATTTGATGCTAGAATGAGCGTACCGTATCTACCTTAGATTAAAACAAAAAGGGTAGATACGGCACTAGCCTCACAAAAGTGATCCGCACAAATTGTGGTCCACGACCCTAATCGCAACTTGACATGCAAACGACGTACATGTGAACGCCAAAAAGAATATTTTGTGTTTACATGATAAAACAATGCCTAAGTACGTTTTTAAAAA